ATGTGTGTGTTTGTGTGTGTGTGTGTGTGTGTGTGTGTGTGTGTGTGTGTGTGTGTGTGTGTGTGTGTGTGTGTGTTTGTGAGATTCCATAAGCCAACTCTGCGGCACAGCCGACCAGATTTATCAGTGCCGTTAAAAGAGGATTTCTTCTGGATTTGCGGCTGCACCGACATCATAAATTGCTCTGTCAGATGGAGGCATAGTTTGCCTCAGTCAAGCAGCAGGGTGCACCCCGCCGTAGCTTTCCGACTCAAATAGAATGGTTAATTTCTGTGTAGTCGTCCCCTGTGAAGCCTCCCGCCTCCTCGCGCCTCCGACAAACTCTGTCCATGCCTTCCATTAGATTGTTATTGAGATGTATAAAGTAGCATGCGGGCGCGCGCACATTCACACACGTCGGCGTGCCCTCGCACTTGCATGCATAGCCAACCACAAGCATACACACTGCGTGGTGTACACACACGCGCTTGCACACACCAAGGATACGGCTCATTTCCCGCAGCTGGCTGCAGCCTCTTGGTTATACAAAAGATGTAGGAGGGGGGTAGTGCTGTATATTCATGTATTTGGCTGTCTCCCAAATGTTAATTTGCTTTTAGCTGGCCACGATTAGAGCTAATTCCTTCCCGGTGCATATTATAAATACAAGCGAGAGTGAAGGCATTTGCTGAATAGGCTGAGGGACACTGAAGGATCTTAACCTTGTTGCATATAGTCAAGGTACAGTGGTAACTTAAAGTTTGGGGGCTTTGCAGCTGTTCTCAGAGGAAATATTGGTCATTCATCCCTGGTAACGCTAGGGGACAGTTTGAAAAAAAAAAACATCTGAAGTTCAACTTAAATACAACCGTACTATTCCATTTCCTTTATTGTAGAATTCCGACATGTTTGATTTCTGTCTGTCTCATCCACTGTGGTGATGCATATTCCCTCCTTTGTTGCCTCTCACCTGACACTGCAAAACTGTCATCTTGTTTTTCCATCTGTCCACTTTCAGAGACGGCCTTATGGGCCAGGAAGCCTCTGCATGTCAGCTCCGACTGCTGACCTCTGACCCGGGAAGCAATCCCAGGTTGCTACTGCGAATGCTGCTTCACAGAGACTGTCACCTGCCCCGTATGCTCCTGGAAAACTCTTGTAAGTCTTTTTTTTTTTCCTTTGCATGGAGCTTGGCTCTTGATACATTATACAGACCTTGTGAATGCTTGAATATGGAAGTTGTTACACATGCTCATGCGCATAACTTTTGAAACAATAGCATTTTCAGATGAGATTTGGTGCATGTGAGCGAATGCTATGAGAACTCAGCCCGTAACTTTTACAGACATTAGATGACCTCCCTCTGATTTTATTAGGTCATCAGTATCATCATCTTTGCCATCATCGTCGTCATCATCCTCACCTTGGTCATCAGCGCCACTAAATCAATAAGAGTGCAGTAATAAACACTCAACAGACCCAAGCAGAGCACATATGCTGACCTTTAAAGATTTTACATTCCTCCTCCTCTCCCCTGTACCGGCAACAGTCTAACCTTTAAAGACTGTTGTGCACTCGCACATTAATTCACATTATCGTGACCTCATTAATAACAACTTTCACTGCGCCGTTCACTTGGTCGAGCGGAGAGTCTGGCTCGGAGGCGCTGGGATGCCTCCGCGCCGCGTCGTATATCAACGCGGGAAGCGCTGACTCTTGCACGTTATCGCAGTGACGGCCTAATTAAGCGAGAAGTGGGAAGACCGAGGCTTGACTGAAAGCTTACACTCCCGTAAGCATCCGCGGTGGCTTTGGTGTGTGTATACAAATTGAGGATAGAAAGAAAAAGCAGCATAAGGTGTCATATCAAAGTGTCAGGTCAACACATGCCGCCAGCTTCTTTATTGTCCGGTTTCTTCCCACGCATACTCAATTTCTTTCGAAGACTAATTCATCTTCTTGTTTGGGGACGCAGGAAATAATGTTTGAGCGTTTGGTTTGGTGCTACAAAGATTAAACAACATAAGCACACGTTTTTTCCCCATAAATGTCATTAGTGTTGCTGTTTTCAGTTACTGCAGTTTGCAGTGAGCACTGCTTTTTACCTGTTCAGCAATGTATCAAGCTTGAATTGGATTTGAGGCGGAGACAGAATAGAAATCGCCACAATGACAACTCGAGTAAAATTAAATTATAGCGTGTCCCAGAAGTAGTGGTAACTTTTTTTTTTTTTTTGTCTGAAGTTATCTTCTGCGCCATAATCAGAGAACCTGCTTTGTTCTCAATCCTGTTTCCATGGACCGTCACGGTCACATCACTGATACCGAGAACGCTTTCTCCTTGAAGACCAATTACCAGACAGACAAAGAACAAGATAGTGGCATAACCCACCTAATAGAGTGAGGTGGGCTCGGTTCAACATTCTAGAGTGTCTTAGATCTATGATTGTGCGACAGAGGGGAAAAAGTGAACAACATCACCTGGAAGAAATCATTTCTCATTTCAATCGAGAGCGGGGCGGCCGGTTAGCGCGTCGGCCTCACAGTGCAGCGGTGCAGGGTTCGATTTCGGCTCCGGCCTTCTTGTGTGGAGTGTGCATGTTCTCCCCGTGCCTGCGTGGGTTTTCACCGGGTACTTCGGTTTCCTCCCACATTCCAAAAACTTGTTTGGCTGATTAATGGAACACTCTAGTCTAAATTGTCCCTTGGTGTGAGTATGAGCACGGATGGTTGTTCGTCTATGTGTGCCCGGCGATTGGCTGGCAACCGGTTCAGGGTGTCCCCCGCCTACTGCCTGAAGACAGCTGGGAGAGGCTCCGGCACGCCCCGCGACCCTTGTGAGAATAAGCGGATCCGAAAATGGATGGAGGGATGAATGGATCTTGAGTGGTGATATTGCTCAGATGCCTATGATCAAGCTGAATATGAATCACCATGCACGGGACCAAAAATGTTGCCTTTTCCATTCAAAATAATTCAGAATTCAACCAAAGAAAGCCACATTGCATTCTCCTGTCACCTGTTTGCCCTGTTCTTGTGAGACTCAATTTCCTATTTGTAGACCTAATAAGAACAAGCGCTCCAGAAATTAACCGCTGGCTAATTAGCACAAAAGCATTTCAAACAACACAAAAAGTGCTCCGGTTTTCCACTAATTTACTGCGCCTTACTTTTTGGATGTCAAATCCGACTAAAGTCTCACTAGGCTCCTGACTGCAGTGTTTCACACCCTATTCAAATATCTGTCATCTCTGACAGACCGCTGGATGTCTGCCACCTCTGGAGCAACGGGCCTCTGCTCAGCAACCCCTGTCAACTTCACACAGCCTTAGTACACAATGTCTGTAGCGCGTATAGACATCTATAGGAGTTACACACGCACCTCCGTCAGCCCTGCGCTTAGACAGCTCCCCCCACAAGGACACCCTGTCAAAACCGCTTCCCTTTCACTTCCTGTCTCCATGTGCTGTACATCCCATAGCCAGAGGGCTTTGGAATCTGCTTCCCTCTCTCTCTCTTTTTTTTTTTTTTTTACCCTCCAAACCATCCAACACAGATGTGAGTTTTTCTTCCCTCCCTAATCCACAATGCCTTTTGTTCGTCCATTCTGTTAACACATGTCAGGGTGAGCCTTGACTTTTTCCAATGGTTTTTTTCCCCTGTAAAAGGGGAAAAAAAAATTGAAACGCAGTTTTTTTATATCATACACCTCCCACTGGAATGAGTGTTTTTT